AAACTTCCAACATTATTGACCTTTTTAAAATCTGCTTTATAAATTCAGCTGATCAACATTAAGCACACAATTATTCAGGGAAAAGTGTATATACTGTATAAGTCACACAGCCACCCCTCAAGTTTGTACAAATGATACAGGCTATATAACATAGAGAAAATAAATTGCCAACTTTGAAAAAACGATCACCATGAAAAGTATCAACACTTACATATATCTTTTGGAGGTGTCCACGCAATAGGAAAGCAGATTGATAAAAGGACAGAAGAAACGCTAAATATGTGTCATGACAAACAGTGAAAAATTAAGTATTGTAACTTACATTAATTACACTCTTGCAAGATGAATAGGCTGCTCATCATTAATGAGAACATACACCTTTGTCGAAGTTTCACATCTACCTGTGATAAATGTGCTAATGGCGATAAAATATATCATTGGAGCATTCAAATTAACAATGCACTAATAGATTGACATATGAGTATAACTAAAGTGTTTAATCATAAACATGGCACTGCACCCAATAGTGTATACACCTTTATGCACATAGCAAAGAAATTAAACCCAGTTTAAACACTGCAGTCTTGTTTTAGGAAGTATATACTAAAACATTATTTCATTGTTTGTAATCATTTTGTATGTACAGTTCTCTTTAGAGTTGTATGAAATGTAATGTGGCTTATGGATCTTTTGATTAGACAGCGACTACATTTTTTTTCTTTTTGCATAAAAAGGCTGTCTGTTTGGTTCCAGGCAGAATACACATTGACTCCTACTCAAGTGACAGGAGTGAAATTGTCAAATAGTCCTTATGACATACTTAATCCAAGCCCTGTGAAAGTCAGACTGCATTGAACAATTTTGATGGGTGTAGACCAGCATGCTTGAAAGGCGCTTGCAGAATGAAACAGTGCATATTTTTGCATGCATAAGGTCACTTTGAAATGTATACATTATGGGAAGTAATAACACCACAATATACATTCAGACTGGAATAAAATAAAAACACACAATCAACATGCTAGCATGCGTATACTAACTCTAGTTTGCACATATATTGGCCAAAATCCTTCTACTGTATTAAGGCCATTGGTATTAAGACCGATGGTGATGGTGGCTGTTATTTTTGAATTATATATTGCCCCATAGTGCTAAAGCCCTCTCTGGATGGTTTAAAACTTTGCCCTCCCAGTGAGGTGGGTACTCATTTTACCAGCCTTGGAAGGATGGAAGGCTGAGTCAACCTTGAGCCAACTACAGTACTTGAACCCATCAGGGTCGAACTAAGGTCATGATCAGTGTCTTGACTGCAGTACTGCAGTTTAACTGCCATCTCAAGGTATAAATTTCAGTAGTGAATTTCTGCTAGTTAAGAAGTCAACGCTTGTATTTCTTGTCATACACCAGTCACATGAATGGGCAGGTCACAAAAAATCCAAACATCAACTTCTTAACTAGTGGGAATTTGCTGCTGAATTTTACCCTGTTGGACTTACACCAGTGTAAATATTCAGTTGGACTCTGGCTACTGTTTGATTATGTATTTTAGGGCTTAAAGCTTTAGTTTGTGCTCTACCTGCTCATGGCTTGTTGGAAAACTCAGTAAATGAATTTAATAAATAAATGTGATTACTGGCTTGAATTGAAAACTTTTTTCCTACCAAAGTCCAGTGTATCTCAGGGAAGTTTTTTTTTTTAAGTCCCCAAATGAAGCTGCAAGTGTAATATCAGGTGTATGGCAAGTGTGCTTCCCTGTATCATAGATTTCAAAGTGCTAATTCTGATTTGGGATGGGATTTTCAGATTAATCTGAATGAAAAAAAAAGGCTCATTCTTTTGTTGTCAGGCTATTTTGATATGTTCCAATAGAGAGACTCTAAAACCTGACATTGTTGGCTTCTCAAAAGACAGGTTCCCCAGAAAATACAATGGCTTCTCTTGGGGTTCCTCTACAGAAGGCAACGCTGGACAGGGAGGAGATCGGGGGTAGCTTTACATTACATCTGCAATGTACTAGGTCAAGATGTACATGGAAAGTGCTTAAGTCTCTGAACAATCTCACTGGACAGTGTTTGCCACCCAGCAGTGTTTTCTGGTCCAGGGGTGAGGAAGACCTCCCTCAGCTCTTTAGGAATTAGGTGCCATCATCACTTTGGCCACATCTGCTACTATACTTTTAACTGTTTCATCTAAAGAAAGATTATCAGCAACTGACTTGAAATAACAATAAAGCTATTATTGAGCATAGGTTATGTCCAGACTTGGTCATGATTACAGCAGACCGACTAAAATAAGTAAAACTTACATTAGTGATAAGTAACTAGTCCCGTTGATTTCAGTGAGCCTCTTTAAACTACAGTACTGATGGGAAAGAGTCCCATTACAGTTGTTTTTATTTTAAAAAATCACTAAATTCACGAATTTCTTCATTAAAAACATTGATTGTGGGAGAAACCACAACTTAAAGATTCATCCATCCATGCACACATAGAGCTTTGAGTGCTCAGCTCTTAATCCATTGAGTTTAAACCTCACTGTGTTTATCTATGTCAGTGGTTCTTAACCTTGGGTTACTCATGTGTTTTTGAACTGCAACTCCCAGAAATCCCCAGCCAGCACAGCTGGTGGTGAAGGCTTCTGGGAGTTGTAGTCCAAAAACACATGAGTAACCCAAGGTTAGGAACCACTGGTCTATGTTAACTACTTTACTGCTGAACCAGATTTGCCACTTCTTTAGAAGGGTTTCTCACCTTTAGCATATAAATGGTAAGCAGGGACAACGTAGTCTTCTCTGTGCTCTGGAGAGGTGTAGCTACTGAATTCAGCCAGCGTACACGTGTGTTTTATTTTAATTTGATTTGAAGGATTTGCCAAAATAATTTTGCCAAATATTTGGGACACAAAGGACTTGAGGTTTACAAACTCTGAGTGCAAAGAAAAATAAAACGGATAGATGTTCCCATCTGAGCACTAAATATGACTAAGGCTGGACACAACTGTCTGCTTTTTTGCATGCCCCTCCATGTTCAAGATTTTCAACCTAAATACCCAATTAGCCCATTTCCTGTATGGAATTCCGTCAAAAGGCAGATCCAAGTTTGAAGAGGCTTACTGACATTTTTGAAATAAACTTACCCAAGCCTAAATAATCACACCACTCAGATGTTAACAACAATGGCAGGTTATTTCTCACAAGAAAAGTACAAGAAGCGAATAAATTACAGAAACAGGCTGTTTACAAGCTGAATAAGAAAAACCATTTAAAATTCAAATCAGGAAATGAATTTAATAAACCAGTCAAGACAATCTGAAATGATTATAAAAATAATTATACCAACCAAACACTTTTAATAATTGGGGGGGGGAAGTAATCCTGAGGAGGACAAGGACAGCGATGGAGAATGGGGAGGTAGCTTTTTCACCTGCCGCATCTAAAGCGCCTTGTCTAACTGAACTGACCTTGAACCTGTGCTTGACTCCTATTCAGCTCAGTAGATTGATCTAAATGTGCCAGGTAAACACTAAAAATTGCCCCCTTTTAAACAACATCATTTCAGGCACAGGTGCAAGCTTTTGCTGCCCTATTATTGCAGCCTTTACGTGTGGGTGTCACTTGTAACAGCTAGGATATATTTAAAGATGTTACTGAAAAGTAACAGCCCTTCCTCTCTTTCGGCTGATTTTTACATAGAAAAACTATTTTTGGCCATAACTACCATGACAGCATAGCTCTCCACCCCCATATTTCTAAGCCCTTACAAATAACCTCAGAGTGGATGAATAATGATGATAATACCTAGTTGGCCAAAGGTTTAGAGGCTAGACTAGAACTGAAAAGCCCTGGCCTGGGTTCAGATCTCCACTCAGCCATGAAACACATGGAGATTGTTGTAGGCCAGTATCTTTCTTTCGTGCTAAGATTATAAGGTCCTAAGGACCTTTCCGAAGGTTGTGCAGGGGAACTGTGGAAGAGAGTGAAGTTCGGGGATGTTTTGCCTGAGCAGGATCAATGATGGGACCCTTCCTCTACTAAAAGTGTTAGGACCTGCACTGGCAAAGCAACACAATGGCTGGAATCCTGTAGGCCCGTTGAATCAGTGGGGTTTTGGTGAGTCAGCGCCTCCATACGTTCCATTGGTTCAATGGGTCTACTGTAGTTGTGATTTACTAGGCTAAACAACAGGATTTGTAATAAGAATAATTTTAGAACTTTCAGTCGGTAGCAAACAGATCCTCCTTGCTCTGCTGAGTGAATAGAGCAAAAATGAAGGTTTCATGGTTTTACAAGACATGAGGAAAATAATCAAATGGAGACAGGACACTTCTTTCCTTTTATCTGAATGGTTTCCTAGTTTATGCATGAAATTCAAATAGTAATAGTTGTTTGTAAGATATATGTATTATTTACAAATAAGCTAACACTATACAGTAGTTTAAAATCCCATCAGTAAACACAGACATGAAAAACAGAAAAGCAAGCCACTAACAAAATATCATAGCTACATTTATGGGGTTTGAGTGCAATTCTGCATTTAACCTATAAACATGCTCTGATGAACCCATTAGTCCCTAGTTTTGACTGCATAGGTTCAAAAATACTGAGCTTTAATAAAAGATTTTATCTGGTTGAAGTCCAATTAGGTTTAGCTGTAAATGCCAGCAATCTTGCAAAGACCAATGCAAACTGCTGACAAAAATCAGGACTCCCATCGAATAAGACTGTCTAGGATCTATCACAAAATACCATTTTGTGTGTATTCTAGGGATGCAGCTGACTTTCCCTTGGGAATACAGCTGTAAGAGGCTGTCATAACATCAGAAGACCTAACCATTCAACCACTATTGGGTTTATGGGAAAATAAAATGGATGATAGAAGAACTTTATACCAAGGCTTGAACTCTTAAGGGAAAAGGTGGCTTAAAAATTAATTAATTAATTAGCAATTCTTTATGGAATTTAACACCAGGCAGTGCTTTAAAAACAGCATTTTATTTCCTACCTCGTGGAATTTAATAATATTAATAACCCATGCACAGAGACCAGCAGCAGCTGAAGATTTTGTCTGTACAAATTCTGAGTTGAACTCTGGATCACTCAGATAATCTTCTTTCACAGCCTTAACTGTTCCTTCAGGGATATGTTCTTTATCAAAATTGACAAGACTCTGGAGGAATTCATCCACCTAGAAGGCAAAAACAAAACACCATTGTGAGGCATACATATCAATGAAGCAGAGCATTTAGTTTGGTAGTTTTCATTCTAAATTATCAATGGCCAGAATCCTACAGTTGATTTTGTGAAATCTCGTAAGTCTTACTGACAAATTGCAACTGATTAACAAGGTTCTAGATGCATTTCCAAGTCATGTGCCTTGTCACACAATGGCCATGTAACCAGGAACAGGACTGGCATCTCATTAATTAATGGCGATTTGCGGCTATGACATATGTAATTTCATGTACTTGTGCATAAATCACCATTAAGATTCTGGCCACTGATGATATAATACTTTCCTAATTTAATTGCGTGTCTCCTGTTGTACATTCCATTTCATTTCAGGACCTACTTCTTGCTCTATTTGTGCTCATGTGTTGCTTGTGTAACCCCTATGAAATATTGGTTCAGCCTAAAGGGGTGGGGCTAAGACTAAGCAGGGCTGTGAGTAAGGGGTTTTGAATCAGAAAGAATGAGAGACCTGAAGAGGCTGGAGCTGCTGTTGCCACTTAAATTACTAAGGCCCTTGCCAGCTTGGTCAAGGGTGTTGCAGATTCTGCATGTGGAGCTGATTCTTCTATGTTATGGATACCCAACCCAGTTGAGGAAGATAATCTTGGATTTTTGTCTAAATTTGAATTCAAAAGGACACACAAACTTTGCAGTCTACAAGCAATCTCTTTATTGGTATTGAGGACCTGGGGGCACACATTGTAGCATTTTGTTGTTATAATTGCTCATGTTGTCTGTTATGTAACTCTGAATAAGAAGAGAGTCGTTTTGTGAAACTGAAAGGATCACCAATAGATATCTAAGTAAGCAAACAGCCCCACAGGACATAAAAATGTTACAACGGCATTGATTTCTGAGATGCCTGGGGTGTTTCCAGATGGACGGCTCCTCCTGCTAGCAATTAGATGGCACTCTGCAAGTATTCTGTCATTTTCTCCTTAATGAAGATGGAAGGAGCAGTGGACAAGCACTGGAGGGTTTCATGTAGAGGATGATGACATCTGAAGACACCATAAATGCCAGTTAAATGAGGCAGAGTGATGGTATCATAAAAGCCTTGTTTGGACCTCCCAGTTAGGTCAATAGTCATTTTCTGGTGGCATAAATTTCTACGAAACTCCCAACTGCTCGCAGAGTTTTCAATTTCTGCCTTTCGTTCTACTGACTAACAGCCACCAATGACCCATTCCATTTCCCTCCTTGGCTCCTTTTGATCATCACCCAAATGGTTACAGATTAGGAACTCATAAACTATATTTGCTATTCTGGTGAAAAGGACAATCTTCTAATTCACAGAAGACTGGTTGTTAGCATAACAGAGACAAGAAAGACAGGGCTGTGGGGGGATGACATTTTACTCCATTCTGATCATGGATATCTGGAACTGGATCTCCCATGGTTTTTCACATGTTTAGAACAGGGGTCTCCAAACTTTTGAGGGTGAGGGACACATCGTATTTTTTTCACATTTTTGAGAGCTGAAGGAACATGCACATGTGCATGCATACTCGGCCACACGCACACATGCACCCCTGCCCGGATGCCTGTCCACCCGCCTATGCACCCGCTGAAGGGAACAGGCCAGATAAAACAGCAAGGGGGGGGACAGATGTGGCCCGCAGGCTGTAGTTTGGAGATCCCTGGTTTACAACATTTTGATGACAGCAGCTTCACTTGCAAAGAGGGTGTTTAAAGCTTCCGTACATTGATCAGATTGACTTCCCCCCAATGTTGCTGCCGACTGAGGAAAAAGAGAAAATATATGACCATGAGACAGGGCGTTTATAGTTTATATGCTGCAGAACTGATAACACTTGAAGCTTCCATATTACATTGACCCTACTGCCCTCTAGTAATAATAATAGCCTCAAATGCAATTGTACAGCTTGAACAGCATAGAGAACACAGAAATATTGTAGAATGTTTCAGATTGACTCTTCTTGTATTGTTGTCTCCTTCATATATTGGTTTTTTATGTTTACGAGATACTGTAAAGACGTTTAATAAGCATAGTTTGGCAAAACTCGTTCTGCAAAACAAGTCATTACGGCTTCCCGCCCCCCCCCCACGGCAGAATGTCAAAGGTGCCTAATAACTTCAATGCCTTTTCTGATGTCCTTTTTATTAATTCTTGCCAGCACAATATCTTTGGCATTCTTCTCAAATATATGACTAATAGACCAAGATGTAGCCGCTACAAAGCATTCACATAGAGTACTGCCCAGGGACATCATGGAATTTCTCCATTACCTTACTCATGTACATCTTGGCCGTCTTCCAGCTTCTGTCCTTTGGGATCTTTCCGCTTGGGGACAAAAGCACAAGAACAGCTGCTGTCACGTTGGTGACCATCGCAGGAGGATTCGGGAAAGTTCTTAGCTCAGTTAAATTGAGCTGGAACAAAAGCAGGAGGACATAAGTTCTAGCAGACCTATTATATTTGCAAAGCATTCAAAGCGCTATGGTAATATAAAGAGCATTGTACACTCCAACACTAGGCCAAAGAAAATATGTATGGTAGCTTTCAGATAGCAGAGACTGATAGTAACTAGTTGCAAGTAATATTCTTACGTATCAGCAGTTACTTTTTGGAAAGAAGGGGTAACAGCATTACATTTTAAAAGTAATCTTATGGATAACCACAAACTTACCTTTGGGGACTAAGCAATAGTTACTTTCTAACACTACTTTTAAAGGGCATTTTGACAGGAGTTGTTCAGGTTTTACACAATTTCATTTCAAATGTTGCTATTGTTCATCTTCTGTATTTTTGTCACTCTTTTCAAGGTGCCATGTCAGGATGAGCCAACTCTAGAAAGAACTTGGGAATATTTCCAGGGATGTTTCTGTTATGCGGGAAATATCAATAACTTCACTAGCCCTCACGTTATTTAATTGTCATCTCAATGATGTGATCCAGAAATGTCTAATATCAGAACTTCATGTAACAAAATTGGCTGAGACTAAGGTTTTTTTATGGCTATACGCAGATGATGAAATTCTTACGTCTGTCTCTAAAATGGGCCTTAAACAACTTGTATTTGTTTTCATGAGTTACTGTAAAGATAAATTGCTAACTATCAATTTTAAGAAAACCAAGATCAAGGCTTTTTCTAGACACACTGAGGAAATGAGTGAATCATTGATGGACAGCATCTTGTGCAGGTTAAAAAGTTTAAACACCTGGGCGTTGTTTTTAACGCCACTCTGTTTTGGACCAGTGATAGACAGTTAGCAGGGCTATTTTTTTTCCCAGGGCTATTTTTTTCTTCAGATTTTTTTTTAAACATCCAGGGGGCTCAGTTCATCCCAGCTGCACTGCAGACAGTTAAGGTCAAACTTTGATCTCAGCTCTCACATGCTATGGCACTACGGATTCAAGGTTTTGATCCAGCTGTTGAAAGTGTGCTCTCAAACTTGTTGTGCTCATTTTTTTTGGAATGCCCGGGTGTGTTTCACCTGCAGGACTAGGACTAGAGGCAGGCCTCGTGTCTGCAAAGTGTAGAGCTTGGTCTTTCACCTTTCGGTATGGGTTAGAGGTTGTGTATGCTGATCCATCCTTAGGTTACCTTTATTTCTTGCAGAAAGATGCTTCTATCATTTCTTGGTTTAAGGGATTTTTTTAAAAAAAGCCAAATTACACTTACTGGGCTTTTTAATGGATTTTCTCTACATACATGATCATCCTACTATAAAACTAATCTTAGAGCATCGAATCAAAGACATGGATTTTGATATTCACTATCAAATTTGCACAGATCTTGCTCACCAACACATTTCAACTTAAATTTTGAAGTTCCTACGAATGTCCCCAAATATCGGCATGCTTACTCCAGGGAAGGGACGTGGTGGCGCTGCGGGCTAAACTGCAGAAGCCTGTGCTGCAGGGTCAGAAGACCAAGCAGTCGTAAGATCGAATCCACGTGATGGAATGAGCGCCTGTCGCTTGTCCCAGTTCCCGCCAACCTAGCGGTTCTAAAGCATGCATATGCGAGTAGATAAATAGGGACCACCTCGGTGGGAAGGTAACAGTGTTCCGTGTCTAAGTCGCACTGGCCATGTGACTACGGAAGATTGTCTTTGGACAAAACGCTGGCTCTATGGCTTGGAAACGGGGATGAGCACCGCCCCCTAGAGTCGAACATGACTGGACAAAAACTGTCAAGGGGAACCTTTACCTTTACCTACTCCAGGGCTAGATTCCACTGTCTCCGTTGAACGGTATTGGAAGGGCGCTATTGCGCCATCCCCTATGAAGATCGACTGTGTGACTGTGGAGATGAAACAGTCGAGTCTTTGGCTCACGTCCCATTTGAATTTAGCCTCCACAGAGAGGGACGCAACAGACTTCTTTGCCCCATTATGAGGAAATGCCCGGGAAGGGCATTTACATGGTATCTGGAGTATTTGATGGCAGATAAAAAAACACAGACTCACAAAGTCTGTGGCTAGGTTTTTGTTTTCTGTTGTAAGGTCTTGTAAAAAGACTCTCTTATCAGTTGAACTGGTTGCTTTTCCTAAATATGTTTATGTTTTAATGATAATTTTAATAATAATCTGAAATTCTTCAGCTATAATCCCACCTAGGAGGGACTACTATGCCTGCAAACGAACAAACAAAAATGTTATAGGCATTTGATGACGTCTAGTTACCGTTAGTGGGTGGCACATGGAGCCAGGATTCAGACCCTATGCTGAGGCGAAGTGGGTATCCTTCCAAAATGGCCACATGAAGTTCCTGATCAAAACTTGTGACAAGGTACACACAGCTCCTTGTCATTAGTGTGTTGAATGATGTAAGGTAACCGGTAGAATATGTACATGACCTCAAACGTTTCTACAGTGGTGCCTCGCTAGACAGTTACTCCGCATGACAGTTTTTTCACTAGACATTGACTTTTTGTGATCGCTATAGCGATTCGCAAAACAGTGATTCCTATGGGGTAATTTTGCTGGACAATGTTTGGTCCCTGCTTCGCAAACCGATTTTCGTTAGACGATGATTTTGACAAACCCCCCCCCGCGCTCGCAAACAGGTGTTTTCGGGACCAAACCTTTCCAAGACAGCGATTTAAACAGCTGATCGGTGGTTCGCAAAGCGGCTTTCCTATGGCCAATCTTTGCTAGACAACGATGATTCCTCCCCATTGGAACGTATTAAACAGGTTTGAATGCATTCCAATGGGGAAATGTTTTTAGCTAGACAATGATTTCGCTAAACAGCGATTTCAGTGGAACGGATTATCATCATCTAGCGAGGCACCACTCTATCATGAAAAATAATGTAATTAGATCTTTAAAACAAAACCGTGTTGTTACCCTGTTCAGGGTGTTCAAGGCAGCATTTGCTGCATTAAGAGCAGGCTCAGCTTTTGCAAGGTCATTTTCAGATTCTTGCTGCTGCTTTGTTACTTCTGCTTGAATCGCTGCTACCTGGGGGAGAAAAGCATATGATCACTGGTTATGCCACTCTTGCCTTGCCAGTGGACCCTGGAAAGGAAACAGATGGGATGAGATGCACTGCCATGCAAACCAAGCATGCCAATATACTGTATGTCGAGTTCTGTTTCTGACCTACCTAAGTACGATCGCAAAAGCACTGCTTAATTCCTTACCACCGATGTGTGAAGAACTACAGAGAATGTGATAAATACTAATTACTTTAAGCCAGTGGTTCCCAGCTTTGAGTCCCTAGATGTTTTCACAGAAGCTGGCCAGGATTCCTGGGAGTTGTAGTCCAAGAACATCTGGGGACCCAAGGTTGGGAGCCACTGCCATCAGTCATAGGGTGGGCATCCAACAGCTAGCCATGGTCACCCATAGACCTTGGAGGATCACATCTGCTTCCACATCACCGTCCACCCCCCAAAATATTTTTCTTTCAAAAAGTATGATAAAACAGCAACAACTGGAAATGCCACCTCATACCTTCTAATGTCCAACACTTTATTTTATTTACAAAAATGTTTGAGCATGTGAAGAAGCCTGAGAGAATTCCCTAAAATTTGGAAGAATGACCTTCCATTCTCAGAGGCAAAAGGCAACTTTTGAACAACATCATTAAAAAAAATGCTGGGTGTGGGTTGCTGAGGGCCACATTTGGGCCCCTGAAAGACCTGTGAGTCACAATTTGCTCATCCCTATAATCTGGCAGACAAAACTGAAAGGGAGAGAATGGTCCGATTATAAAGAAGTAAGAGTCACAAGGTAGTTGAGCCAGGAAATTTGTAGAAGTCAATGGGAATAGGGACCTGAAGGGCCTAGAGGCAAATTGTCACTAATGAAATGCCATTCTCACTTGATGAAGCAATAAACTTCTTGTTTTTTTTTTGTTTTTGTTTTTTGCTCACAAAGTAGGCAATATTTTATCTTGGTTTCTTTTCGTGTTGCTTGCCTAGGTAAATAAAAACATTGGCAAAGTAGACTCTGGGGGCAGAACGGGCCTTTTGTTGTCTGGCAAAAACAAAAGGCCCATTTTTATTCCACACACATCAACCTTTCTGTGCAAGAAGGATCCTTATTTCCAAACACAGGCTGCCCCCGACATTTTTGGCTGATTGGAATGAGGGACAAGAGGGTGGTGCCTGTCCCCATTTTGTGTGCCAAACAGGAAAAGGTGAACCTGATTTCCGCACTGGCGGTGGAGCTTCTGAAGGTGGTAGGCTAGCTCCCTCTCTGTCTCCTTCCTGGTACATCAGATTCTCTCTGGAGGCTACCTCTCAGTGTATCTCCTGCTCTTAAGGTGAGGCAGCTGAAGACTGCTGAGTGAGCTTCTCAATGGTAAACACAGACGTTCATCGGGAGCCCCCAAGTCTGGCCAAACCCCATGCAATTTTCTCAACCCTTTTATTTTGACATTGCTGGGGAATTTATTTGTTCTGCTGCTTTTTTATTGCTGTTTCTTATGCGTGCCTTTACATTCTTCTGCATTTATTTATTTATCTATCTATCTGTTATTTGTGTTTATTTATCGTTTGTATTTATAGGCTTCTAAAACAAGCGCTTTAGCCATCATTGCAATTATTTTAAAATAGAATAATAAGGCAAGGGAATGCAAACAAAGACCTAAAAACAGCAACGGCACCACAAACACAATAAAACTACAGATGCAAATACAAAAGCCAACACAATCAACATTCAATACAAAGCCAAACTAATACAAAACATGGTTAAAAATAAAAAAAGGGACTAAACCCAGCCAAGAAATGAAGTAGGAGTGAATGCCACCAATATGCAATAAACAAGTAGCCATTATTTAGAAGGTCAGAGACAAAAGAAATGTCTTAACCTGATGATGAAAAGAGAAATGTTAATTTCAGGTGAATTTTCCTACACAGAGCATCCTACAATCGGGGGTTTCTCTAAGAAGTTCCTCTGCTTCAAAGCCTCTAAGTTTTAGATCAGAAAAATAAGTGGAGGACATCAGTAGATGACTTTAAGCCATGACATTGTATAGGATATATCTTTTTATCCTTTTTATCCTTTTTATATGAACAGCACTGGGCATTTAAGATACAGGGCAGTGTTAGTAGAAAAATCTGCTGAATATGGAAGTTGAGAGTCTACATATGGAAGGCTGTGTCTCTCAGACTATGGAATGCACTCTCTTCCAGGTTTTGGCCTGTTTCCACTCTGATTGATTTGCAAAAGGAAGTAAAACACATCTTTTTAGATTGGTCTATGAGAGCTAACCTGTTCTGCAATGCTGTGTTTAATCTGTATTTTTTTCTTCTTCCTGATTTTAAGGGCTATTCATGCGTTTGCTTAATTTTAATGGCTTTTACAATAGGGCTGGTATCCAGTGTGGTGTGGTGGATAGAGTGGCGGACTAGGACTCAGGAGGCCTGAGTTCAAATCCCCACTCAGCCATGAAAACTGACTGAGGGAGTGGAACTGGTAAAACTACTCCTTAAATATCTCACTCACCTTGAAAGCCCTGTTAGAGCTGCTGTAAGTTAGTCCCAACCTGATGGCACATAATTAACTAAACAACTAGTTAAATGATTTTATGATCATTGATTGCCTAAATGTCAGTTTACCT